GCTCCTGAAAAATGTCTCTTACTGAAACTCCAAACAATATCCAAGATTTCAGCATTGCATAAATGCATCACACCCAGGGAGGCAATTTTATGATCCAATGACTGGAAAAATTCCTTGCTACCTTTCTCAGCTTTCCCAAATGCCCATAGAATTTTAACAAAATCAGTTTTGTTTAGATCCATCATGTCTCTGCTTATTACTTCTGCCTCAACTTTGTCAAACAGTTCATCAGCTTCCTGTTCCTTCTTTGCAAATGACCAGACAAACTCTGCTATAGGGTGACTGTTCATTGAAGTCATGTCTCTTGACAGAAATTCTTCCAACAAAGCTTCAAATAACTCTACAGAACCATTACCAGCTATGGCAAATGAATATAATATCCCAGACAGATGATGATCCGCAAGATCGCTAATTTTAACATCACCATTTAAAAAGGCTTGTTCAAACTTCGGAAATATTGGACTTTTTGTCATGTTGAGGTTTGCGCATCCATTCAAAATCTGAAAGATGTTTTCATTGTTAAAAACTGACATGCCACAAGACAGGATCTTTTTCTCACAGAGTTGGAGCAGTTTTTTATGTTTTTCTCCATTCATTCCTAGGCTCCACATCAAAACAGCAAGATTCTGAGGTAGGCATCTGTGTAGTTTCTCCAAAATACTATCCAGTAATTCAATGTAGGCCTTACTTTTCTCTTGTTTCAGAACCTTCTTCTGTTCTTTATCTTTTTCTATGATCTTTGCAATATTAAAGAGTATAGCGATGCGATTCACAACATCAGTCATATATTTAACCTCCATGAGAAAATCAAGTTGCTTGTCAACCGTTTCCAGTGCATCGATTTTTCTCTGAATGATCATTTTCAATTGGTTGGACGGAGGGACTTGAGATCTGTTGAATATTCCAAGGCTGGAGGAGACACTAAGACACTTTTACTGTCCACTGATACTTTTCTAAATCTGCTTGATGCCCACAAAGCACTGAATATAAGACTGAAATTTTGGTATGTGCGTGCAGACAACTTGCGAGTCATCCATGGAAGCACAAATTGGGGTCGAAAATGTGAAGTCAGAGTTCTCATTCCAAAGAAACCAAACATCCACATTTTTTATCCTCTTAAAATCATCAGCACATCATATATCAATTATTCTGAAAAAAAAAAAAAGGAATGACAAATAAATGACTTACAATGGAGAAATAAATTACCTTATTTTTTTCCTCAGTTCATGAGTGGGCAGTTTTCTACAAATCCTGCAATCTCATTGGTTCTGAGAGCAGGCAGTATTCACCCCATCTGGCCCGCTCACAGTGGGCGGTATTCATTTTGCTTGAGTCCCTTTACAGAACATCTCAAGCTTTGTTGCAATTTTTCACAGATTTATCTCATTTTACCAGCTGGGCAGAATTTTTGAGCAGACTTTGGTCATGACCTTTTGGCAATAAATAATATTAATTCTTTCTTTTCTCTCGCTCTCAAATCACTTTGGTTTTTTTGGCAAAAATTATTTTTAAATAAATTTTGTGGTACTACATTTGTTTATAAAAAGATTGAAACGCGGCCTAGAAACAATTTGTTGATTAATAATCCTTCACAAAAAGTAACTCAGAAAATTAAAACGAGAGATAGATGCAGTTAATGACTACATTAATCAATGTGACTCTCAATCGTTAATACCTGAATTCTTCAACACAATTTGTTCATTTTTGACACATTGAGCAAAGTTTTGGGTTCTATAAATACTCTTTCACCTATCCTTTGCAATTCCCTTGAATTTGGACATTTCTACCGAAAACTTCACAACAGTAACAAAGGAATTCAGTGAATAAAAGTCGCATTAAATCCCATTTTGCCTAGCTGGAAAGAGTCTCATTGACTTCAGCTTTTCAGTGAAAGAAAAACCGATTTACACGCACCAGTGCAGAGAACAAACAAGCAGACTGACAACTCCAAAGCACACATTTGCATTCACCTACAATTTGACTTTCCGTGACATTTTAAGACGGAACAGAGGTAAATCTTCGAAGATTAATTATCTTTGGAAATAAACAAAACTTTTCCTAAGATCTCCGAGTATTTTTTTTTTTTTACGAGAAGATCGTTGCAGTCATTTAGCTTGTGAGTGTTTGTCATACCAGTACGGTTGCTTATTAAAACACATACGCTTTTTCTCTTCAATTGACAATTCTTCATGACAATTACTTACAAAAAATGTTTCAAAGTTTCCTCAGAAGCCTTTTAAGTTACCTTTACAAGTAAAAATGTTTCGGTGAAAGCTTTCTCTTTTTTATTTTTTTTTTTGGGATAACGTCTGTTATCTTATCATCCACTCGCTAATAAATTGTTAAGTTTATGG